ACAATTTCAACAAGCTGGGCATATTTACTTTCAGTTTTCATTCATAATTAAGCAAGTGATGGTTTATTTTAAAAAGCTATCTTCATCTGGGTACGGTGGCAGGTGCCTGTATTCCCAGCTACTCAGGAGGCTGAGGTGCTTGGATTTCGATTGCTTTAGCCTAGGAGTCTGAGACCAGGCTAGGCAACATGGCGAGATCCCACCTTTTTCTTTTTTTTTTCTTTTTTTCTTTTTTTTTGGAGATGGGAGTCTTGCTCTGTTGCCCTGCAGTGGCAATCATCGTAGCTCACAGCAACCTCAAACTCCCGAGCTCAAGTGATCCTCTTGCCTCAGCCTCCCAAGTAGCTGGGACTATAGGCGTGCACCACGACTTCCGGCTAATTTTCCTATTTTTAGCAGAGACGGAGTCTCGCTCTTGCTCAGGCTGGTCTTGAACTCCTGAGCTCAAGCAATCCTCCCGCCTTGGCCTCCCAGAGCACTAGGATTACAGGTGTGAGCAACTCACTAGGCCATGATCCCGTCTCTTAAAAAAATAAAATAAAAATAAGTTATCTTCAATCCTTCATCAGAAGCCACTTCTAACAATTTAATCAAGTTATATGTACACTTAAACTACCTTTTGGTAAAAAAAAAAATGAATTTTGGATTTTATACACTTTTGGGTTAACTGAAAAACTAACCTTAAAATAGCATACATTTTTCATGGTCATAAAGTGGCGTAATGGACATTGGAAACTAAGAAGGTGAGGAAAGGTGAGGGGGGCAGAGGGATAAAAATTTGCCTAACAAGTACAATGTACACTGTTCTGGTGATGGGTACACTAAGAGCCCTGACTTGAGCATTATACAGTTCACCTATGGATCGAAAAACACTTGTACCTCCTTAATCTAGTGAAATAAAAATTTAAAAAGAGAATAAAATATTTGAACAATTAAAAAAAAGTTATATATTTTAATGTGACCTTACCGTGCAAGACTGTACACAGCTCTCACTCACCATAAAGGTTCCCTAACACCCAAACTGGCCTTTGCCAGGTTCAGTGAGATGAGTCCTCTGATCGTGCATTTGGAGGTTGTAGCAATATCACGCTGCTGTAGAAGTGTTTCAGTGGTTGCCATCACTTGCCGTATTTACCTCTGCAGACTGATTAACAGTTTGTAGACAAGCACTAGCCCACAGACCCCACCGTGGATAGCACTGATCTAAACTCTGGTCGCCTCTTTACATCATTTCTTCCA